AACCTTGTACATTCGAGACATACTAGACTGTAAGAGCATGAAAAGGGATGGTATGGACAAAATAGCATCTGTGTGGCCCAGAATCACTCTTGGGAAGGTTGGTAAAAGAGGTTTTAGTGGAGTACAGCTGAGAGTCTATTTGGCTAGGGACAGACATTACACACAAACTGGTTGAAGTGTTCAGGAACTGGTTTAAACCTGTAACAGAACAGACATTCAGTGCAAATAAACCAGTTTCAAAATGTCCGAAACCGGTATGAGATAAACCTGGTTGAATGTAGTATCAGACTTAACTGATTTGGGTCAAACAAGTGTATTCAATGTCTGTCCCAGACCCCTTGGTGGTTTAAGATAAACCAGACACCCCCAGCATCTTGGAATGCTCTCTGGACTGGGGTCTCTGCTTCAGCCACAGGGCTGACCCCGCCCCTCTGCTCTCTAGCCGGAGCAGGGACCACCCCTAGCAGGCACACCGGCTGGCATGGCCCCATTAAGGCAAACTGGGCAGGGAGGGGGTTAATTCTTCCTTCCTTCCCCTCTTCCCCCACCACAACCCAGGTCAGCCTGTCTGCTGGGGAGCAGAGGCGAGGGTGGGGAGCAGTGGCTCCTGGAGCTGGCAGACCCCAGCTGCAGGGAAGGGACAGAGGGAGGAATTAACCCTTCTCCCTTCCCCTTCCCCTTCCCCTTAATGGGGCTATGCTGTGTTGGTCATCCCACAGGGTGGGGAGGGGGGCTCTGTTCCATGCTGGGGGGGACTCTTCCCCTTCCTCCTCCTTCCAGGGTGGGGAGGGGGACTCTGTGAGGTACTGGATGGGGAAGCCCCACACTGGACTCTGCAGGGAAGCAGGGCACAGGGCTCCCTGCACTCCTGGCAGAGTACGGGGCCCTGCACAGCAGGGAGTGGGGGAAGCAGCTGGCTTCAGTGTGGGGCTTCCCTGCTGCAGGCTCGGGGAGCAGAGTTGCGGGATAAGGCAGGCTCCACTCCGTCCCCCTGTGCAGCGCTAGCCGGAGTCATGCCTGCGCTGGGCACGAGTGCCCTGACCTCCCCAGCTGCTGCTGCTGCTAGGCAGCAGGGGCTGCATGCTGTGGGGGGAGTGTGTGGGGGTCCCTACACCCCACACACCCACACCCTGCCCAACTGAGCTCCGTGCTCCCACTGCCCCTCTGGGGGGAGGAGGAGGAGGGGGAAGAGTTCCCCCCAGCATGGAACAGAGCCTCCCCCTGCCCGGGGGCAGGGAGGGAGGAGTGGGGGGAAGAGTCCTCCTCTGGGGCTGGGCACAGTTTCATAGAGCCCCCCTCCCCACCCCACAGCAATGGGAGAGAAGCAGGGGGAAGAGTGGAAGAGTCCCACCTGGGGCCAGGCAGCCTAACAGAGCACCTCTCCCCACCCTGCCGCAGGACGGGGGAGGAGGAGGTAGAAGAGTCCCCACAGCACCAAACAGGGCCCCCCTCCTGGCCCCGTGGTTGTGGGGGAGAGAGAGGATGGGGAAGAGTTCCCCTCTGGTGCTGGGCAGCCCTGTGTGCTGGGATTGGTCCCAGCTGTCAGGGAGCTGCTGGGGCGGGCCTGCTGGGGCCTGGCCACACTCCCCTCCCCTCAGCTCAGGGGCTGCTCTAGCGCCTCCGGGCTTCTGGGTTGAGCCACTGCAGGCACGTGCTGAATGTCGATCCACTCGCAAACCGGTTTACTCTGTGCAGGTTAGACTAACCTGCCAAGACTGAATCAATTCAGGCTCAGGCTTTTGAATGTCTGTCCCTAGCCCTATAGATCTGTCTGTGTAATATGAGTTATGTGTCATTCTGGAGGATTTAATTTCCCAGATACGGATCTGAGATCGAATAACACTAATATAATAGTACTGATCAGCAAAGAAAGTTGTCATAGAAGTCAAGATCACTCTTGGGATAGAGTGAAAATTATTAGAAGTCAAACTGAGTTACGCTTGCAAAGGAAATTAAAATTTGGAGCAGGAGGAGAAAAGGCTAAAGAACAGTACTGGCATAAACTGGTATTGAACAAATTTAGATTGGAAATGAGAAGATTTCTAACCATCCCAGAATGAAGTTTTAAAGTGGGCATCTGTTAGAAAGGAGCTTGGGCAAAGAACTTTGTTTTAATATTGAACTTGATAAAATTTATAGAAAGGATAATATTCTAGGATAGGGAGTTCTTTAATAAACATGATAGTAGGATTAAGTATTTGTATTAACAGGAAGGATTTATTTTCCCCTTGTGACTGCTACTGACTCCTGGGGATTTTATTTTTCTCCTTTTGAAGCATTGGATATTGGTGACAGCTGAGGCCGGAAAGTTTTGACTGGGGTGTGCCAGTGTTCCTTCCAGTATTTAGAAAATGCATAGTTTCCTGGTTAAGGGTTTGCTCTTCTACTCAGAGTCATACTAATCACCAAATTGGGGCCAGGAAGGAATTGTTTCCCTGGGTCAGGTTGGCACATACCATGGGGGGTTTTCATGTGGGAATGGTTCTCCTCCTCTGAGTTTATCTAAATCAACTGCTTCTCTGTCTTTGTTGTGGCAGGGCTTTGGCAGCATCCTCATCTTATCTGCTTTTATCTGTGATGTGTTTATAGCATGTTCTGGTTGTTTCTAGTTATGAGCCTTGCGGCTGTGTGTGGGTTTGGAGTGGGCCAGGTTTAGACTCCTCTGGGTAAATAGTTGCCTGTGAATACAGAGAACAGGACTTGATGGCTCAGAAGGTCCTTTTTAGTTGTGTGTTCCTACATAGCAACATGGTTCTTCAGACATGTACATGGAAAGAGGACAAGGAAAGAAGTAGTTGGGCTACTGCATAGTGACGATGATGTAGTCATTAAAGATAATCCAGGTGTAAAATAATATTTTGCCCTAGGTTTCATTAATGACAGTTTATGTTGAACAAATGGACAAAGGCTGGTTAGGTGATGGGAATGAGGAAATGAAAATGAAAATTACCACAACTGTTGTGGAAGCTAAGCTCAAAGAGGTAAATTCACCTACATTGAAGTTATCCTAGAATTCTGAAGGATCTGGCACGTGAAATCACAGGTCCAATAGCAAAAAAAAATTAATGAATTGAGGGTAGTGTTTAGGATACTGACCTAAGACTGGAGAATAGCTAATGTTGGTACCTATATTTAAGAAGGGGAAATGCAATTCAGTCTTGTTAATTTGCCCAGGCTTTAGAACTATTTTTGAACAAAACAATAAACCAAGGAAGGAAGTAAATGAACAATAGGATAAAATGCATCATGAGTTTACCAAAGATGATCTATGCTAGACTTACACAATATCTCTCTTTGAGAAGACAGCTAATTTTCTAGACAAAGGAAATGCTTCGGATCTAATATCTGTGCACTTGGTAAAGTGACACATAGGAAATTACTAATTAAACTGAAGAAGAGTGGATTAATAGAAGAATTGTAAGGTAGGTAAGGAACTGGTTAAAGGGGCAAAAAGAACAAGATTTGAAAGAGAGAACTGGGGTGATGAGAGGCTATTTGTGAAGTACCTGACAGGATCAGTCTTAGAATCCATATTATTTAATGTTTTCACTAATAGACTGAGCATGGAAAATTGGAGTGTGCTAAGGAACTTTGATGACACAAAATTAGGGAGTATGTTAATACAGAAGAGGGTTAGAATACTATGCAGGAAAAGTTGGATGACCTTGAGGACTATTTAAATTGAAAAGATATGAAATGTAATCCTAGGAAGTACAAGGCCATAGAGCTAGGGACTAGTAACAAGAATTTCTGCTATAAATGGAAAGCAAGTTTTTTAGAAACAACAAGAAGAAAGACCTTAATGTATTAGTTGATCACACAGTGAAGAGAAGCTTTCCATTTTGTGCAGCTGTGAAAGAAAGAAGTGGGATTCTAGGATGTATTTTCTGTGAACTTTCCAGTAGAGACAGGAAAATATTTATTCCTTTGTACTCGTCAGTCCTCATCTGAAACAATGTGTACAGTTCTGGTCAGCCAGATTCAAGGAAGGTGAACTCAGACTGTAATAAGAGTAGAGAAGGACTCCTGGGATGGTCATAGAAATGGAAGCTTCTCATATTGAGAGTAGGCTAAAAGAGCTTGGAAGATCAGAGGCTGAGATTGGATCTAATTGTTTTGTATAAATATGGAAGGGGAGAGTTAATATCAAGGAAGGACAAGGACTATTTCAGATTAAAGACAGTGCTGGCATAAGAACAAATAGATAAAACTGGCCATGAATGAAATAAATCTGGAAATTACATGGTTTCTAACCATGAGAGCAGTAAGGTTTTGGAACAACTTTCCAGAAAGGGACAATATGACATGTTTGCCTGCAGTACTGGGGAATGGACTTGCTGACTCAGGAGGTCCCTTCTAGTCCCATGTTTCACAGGCAGCACAGAGTGAAAAATAACTAGTAAATGTCAGCTAATTGAGATGAAACCATCGGCCCCTACTTCATCCTGTTCTTAGATGGTAGAAAGTAAGTAATTTTAAGTTCAGGAAAAAGAGACAGCCTCCCCCCTGCACTATTGCCTTCACAGCAAGGTTGTTCTGACCTCAATCATGCTGTGCAGTTCTTCAAGTAAGCTAAATGCTGCCTTCGCATTTAGTGTCCACGTATGAGTCCAGTGAAGACATAGAATGTCCAGCCTATTAAATAGCAGCTGGGAGGAGGAGAATTAGAAAGGTACATGTAAAGGTCAACTCTCTGTGGTCACTAGCAATTCCATTTTGCTTCACTGCGGAGACAAGCTAAGCCAGTAATAACTGTGTCTCAGTTAAGGATGGAGAAAATTTGCTCTGCATAAATGATTACAACATATGGTCCATAGTGTCTGTCTCTCTGAGTAAATCAGCAGGAGCTATGTAAACAACAAGAGAACAAACAGCAAAGATAATCACACAGATCTTGAAGCATGTAACTCAGATTCCAGATTGTGATAAACATTTCTAACTATCTTTGGACAGAGTGGGAATATTTGTAATGCATTGATTTATTTTATATACAACTGCAGGGCTCCTTAAATCAGTTTGTTAAACAACTAGAAAAAGAGAAGAAAAATCTCCAAAGCCAACTGAAAGATTATGAGCTCAGACTGGAACAAGAAGCAAAGGTTGGTTACTGCTGTATCTATCTAGCAAGTGTTTTGATTTTTGGGTTTTTTTTATATGCCACTATGGCATCTGACATACTTTCTGCAATACTGATGTAGGGAATGTAATGATTCTGTAAAATTTAAAGGTAAAAAGTTCTGGGATATATTTGTTTCCTCTCACTTTTTGGTGGAACCTTGCTAAATATTTTAATTGTAACTGCTTATCCATTATTTCAAATGCAGGCTTACCACAAGGCCAGTGATAAGAGACGTATATACATAGCAGAGATTTCACAGGTAAGCGACAAAAACTTTGACCTAGTTCAGACCCAGGTCTGAGTCAGATGGAGCAATTGCTAAAAAGCAAAGCAAGCCAATCCTGTCTCTGTCTTTATAAAGAGTTTATAACTTAAAATTTCCTTAAAAAGCCTTTGATACTGTATCATCTAACCTTTGTTTTGGGCAGAGCTGAATGACACAGGTGTCAGCAAGCAGTCTGTGCTAATATGTCCATTGTTGCTACCAAAAATGATGCTGGTAGAAGCAATGGTGGAAAGTCTTAGGAATAAAAGTCCAGCATACATGCTGCCTTAAAAGACAGGCAGCACTGTCCCTGCATAGCTGCTGGTCCCCGGTGGTCCAAATGTAAGAACCTGACTCAAGTTTCATAGTCAGCATTGCTCCAGCTCATGCTGTTCCTAGAATAATTCTGTCTGACTGTTTTTTTTCCTTAAACTATTACTGCATATTCAGCTAAAGCGTTGTTTTGGCCAGAGGTTTGTCACTTTGCACAGAAAAAAGGAGATCCTCACTGCCATGTGACCACCTGGGTTGTTAACACCATAGGAAAATTTCCCAATATGTGGTGAATTGAGTAAGTAAGGAGATGGGTTTGAGACTTGTTTCAACCTTTAGAAGGAAAATATCACTAAGCTGCAGTTTTTAGAGACATGGCATAGTCTCTAAGACTATGCCATGTCTTACTTTGCACTTGTCTTTCTTGAATTTAATTTGGTTAATCATGGATCATTTTTCCAATCTATACAGGTCATTCCAGATCCTAGCTCTGCCCTCTATGTCTCTAAGACAGAATAACCACATGCACAAATAAAGACTGAGGAATGACTGGTTAGGCTGCAGTACTGCAGAGAGGGATTTGATGGTTATGGTGGACTGTAAGCTGAATATGGATCAACAGTATGCTCTTGTAGCAAAAAAAAGCCAACAGCATCCTCTGTTGTATTACCAGGAGTATCAATTGTACATCACAAGAAATGATGTCCTCCATTCTATCCAGCACTGGTGAGATGTCACCTGGAGTACTGTGTTCAGTTTTGGGCCCCACACTTCAAGAAAGATGTGGAGAGATTGGAAAGTTTCCATCTGAGAGCAACAAAAATGATAAGGATCCTGGGGAGCAAGACTTATGAAGAACTAGGGTTATTTATTGTGGAGAAGAGAAATCTGAGGGGTGATTTGATTCAATGTTCAAATACCTGAAGACCAATTTATAGAGAGGATTGAGATGGGCTTTTCTCTTTGTCCGTGAGGGACAGGACTAGGAGCAATGACCTCAAGCTGGAGCAGGGGAAATTTAGATTGTCAGAAAGTTCCTCCTACTCTCCAATAAGGATCATCAAACATTGGAGCTGGCTACCTATAAAGGAATTGTGGAATCTCCATCCTTGGAAACTTTTCAAGGTTAGATAGGAATTTGGGTGGTATGGTTTAGTCAAGGACAATCCTACCCTGAGTGGGGCCTCATAAGGTTATCTAGTCCAGCCCTACTTCCAACTCTGCTTTCCTATGATCCTAAGATAGCCGCAGGGATTTCAAATAGGACTCCATAGTGCTAAAAACCTTCTGATTTGTTGTGGTCTTTCTGAATTTGTTGCAACAGAAGAATTGCTCTATTATTTTTTGTAGTAAAAAAAAAGTGAAAACTAAGAGCTGGTATTGTCTGAGAGTGCCTTAAGTGTAACCAGAAGTGTCTTCATACATTTCATAGATTTCATAGACATTAGGGATGGAAGGGACCTCACGAGATCATCGGGTCCAGCCCCTTGCCCAAGGGGCAGGAAGTCAGCTGGGGTCAGATTTCCCCCCCCCCCCGCAAGATAAGCATCCAAGTGTTTCTTAAAGGTATCCAGAAGAGGAGCTTACACCACTTCTGGGGGGAGTCTATTCCAGAATCTGGAGACTTGGACGGTAAAAAAGTTTTTCCTTATGTACAGTCTAAAACAATCTTCCAGCAGTTTGTGACTGTTAGACCTTGACTTCCCTTGGGGTGCCCTGGTGAACAGACATTCTCTCAGTTCCTGATGCACACCCCTTATATATTTATAGGCTGCTACCAAGTCACCCTTGAGCCTTCACTTCTCCAGGCTAGAATCCCATGCCTCTCAGCCTCTCCTCATAAGGCCTGTTCTCTTGCCCTCTGATCATGCATATGACTCTCCTCTGGACTCTCCCAAGCTTTTCCACATCCTTTCTGAAGTGTGGAGCCCAGAATTGGATGCAGTACTGCAGCTGTGGCTTCACCAAGGCCGAGTAAAGCGGGAGGATGACTTCTTGGGTCAGAGTTTTATTTGCTTTTCTGGCTGCAGCATTGCATTGGTGGCTCATGTTCATCTTGTGGTCAGTCATGGCCCCCAAGTCTCTTTCGGTCATGGTGCTAGTGAGTGTAGCACTGCTGAGTCTATAAGTATGATATGGGTTTTTTTATCCCAAGGTGGGGCATCTTGCATTTCTCCATGTTGAATATCATCAGGTTTGATCTGCCCACCTTACGAGCCTGTCCAGGTCACCCTGAATTGCCAGCCTATCATCTGGCGTGACTGCACTTACCCATAATTTGATGTCATCTGCAAACTTAGCCAATCCACTTCTGACACCTGAATCCAGATAATTTATTAATATATTAAAGAGTACTGGTCTGAGTACTGAGCCCTCGGGAATGCCACTGGTCACCATGCGCCAGGTTGACTCATTTCCATTGACTGTCACTCTCTGGGTCCAACCACAGAACCAGTTCCCCAGCCACCAGACTGTAAGGTTGTCGAGGCCACAGTTCCCCAATTTTACCATGAGGACATAGAATCAAAGGACCAGAAGGGACCTGTAAGATCAAGTTCGATCCCCTGCCATGGGCTGGAGGTTATTAGGCTCAAACGAACTCAACAAAGTGCTTGTCCAGCCTCCTCTTGAACAATTCCAAGGATGGTGACTGCACCATCCCTGCTGGGAGCGTGTTCCAGATTCTAGATACCCTTACGCGAAAGAAGTTTTTCCTAATGTCTAACCTAAATCTGTCCTCAGTTAGCTTGTGCCTACTGAAGAGTTGTTCCCCTAGATCTTGGTGTTCACCCTTAACATACTTGTAGGTGGCTATCAAGTCACCTTTCAGTCTTTTCTTGTTCATACTGAACAAACCCAGTTCCTGGAGTCTCTCCTCAGGGGGTCTATCCTCCAGGCCCCTGATCATCTGGGTGGCCCATCTCTGCACCCTTTTGAATTTATCCACATCCTTCCAGAAGTGCAGTGCCCCGAACTAGACACAGTACTCCAGCTGTGGCCTCACCAACGCCGAATAGAGGGGGAGGAGCACCTCTCTGGATTTGTTCGCAACACATTGGCTGATACATGGCAGGGTCCTATTTGCCCTGCTAGCGACTTCATTGTGCTGTTGGCTCATATTCATTTTCTGGTTGATTGTCACCCCCAGGTCCCTTTCAGATGCTGTGCCAGCCAGTGGACCACCACCCATTGTATAGATATGGTGAAGGTTCTTCCTACCTAGATGAAGGACTCGGCACTTGTCCCTATTGAACCTCATCTGATTGCATTCAGCCCATAGGACCAGTCTGTTGAGGTCATCTTAAATCCTTACCCTGTCCTCAGATGTGCCCACATTTCCTCGCAGCTTGATGTTGTCTGCAAACTTAATCATTGCGTTTTCCACCCCCTCGTCCAAGTAATTGATAAAGATGTTAAAGAGCACGGGCCCAAGCACTGATCCCTGGGGGACACCACTGGAGACAGCCTTCCAGGATGAGGCCATCCCATCAATTACAACTCTCTGAGGTCAGCCTCTGAGCCAGTTGTCTACCCACCTCACTGTAGACTGGTCTAGGCCAGTACCCTCCAGCTTAATTGAAAGGATCTCATGGGAAAAAGTATCAAAGGCCTTGTTGAAGTCTAGGTAAAGGATGTCAACCTCATGCCCCTTGTCCAGCTGATTAGTTAGTTACCTGGTCATAAAAGAACACCAGGTTTGTTAGGCATGATCTGCCCTCGACAAAGCCCTGCTGGTTGCTTCTTAATATCCCACCAGTTATAAGCTTGTGGTTGATGGCCTCCTTGACAATTTTTTCAAAGATTTTTCCCAGAATCAAGGTTAGACTGACCAGTCTGTAGTTTGCGGGGTCATCCCATTTTTGCTGACCTGTCTAGTAGAGTACTTGCTGAGGAAGTAAAAGAACCAGATTCTAGACTCTTTTCACCTTTAGATAATTTCTAATCCACATCTCCCACTTCTGAGGAGAGTCTCTTAACTATTGGACCATGAAAAATGTGAAGTGAGGAAACTCTGCACTATCCCTGTTAAAGATGAACTACTAGGCAGCAAAAAATGAAAAAATCCAAAATCCAGAGGGAAAGCAAGCAAGAAGGAGCCTGCCTCTACAGGCTGGTGGTTATGGCACTATACTAAAAGTAGGGTATCCTGGGTTCTAGGGTCTGCTTCCAGCACTGTATAATGTATTTTATATTTAACAGTCTTTAGCTAGAAAACAGCAATAGGCTCTGTGACCTCCTGGAAATGCCTATGCTTCCTGCTTTCTTGGGAAATTAGAGTTTTGAATTGGAATCCCCTCAGGCTGAGGAAACCCTTGAACCGAGGTCTTTTATTTTTGGGTGATTGGTCTAACCACTAAGTTATTGGGCAAAAGATAGACACCATTTCCATGGACAACATTTCCAAAAAACTGTGCCTTTCTTAAGAAGTCATTAGGCAACTGTCTTCAGGAGAGAGGATAGGCATTGTAAACTGCAGGTGAACAGAGATGTCTAGTGGATAACATGAATAGGCACCTAAACTTCTGAGAGGAGCAGGATTTCAGACATATTTTGGTGCTTAGTGCTTCCTGTTGGCTGCATCTAGGCACCTCGAGCCCTTCTAAATTGCTCTTTGGAGGCACACAGTGCTCCCTATTCTCTGTGTAGAGCACTGAAACCTGAGGTTGTTCGTGCCCCCAGAGTCTCTTGATAGATTATATAGGTATCTAACCAGGTCAGACCAAGTCACCTAGAACAGGAAGCCTAATATTTAGACATTGCAGCACTTTAGGAAGCAATTTGAGTCCTGGCCTAAATATCTTTTTTAAATAAAATGAATTATTAATTTTTATGGCACTCCTGGGTTTATTTTGTCATGGTGAAATTGTGCAATGAACAGGATCATATAAACCAGTTGAAAATACAGCACTTTTAAAGCATTTTATTATAGCACTTCTTATTCTGAAAGCACTCTTAATTCTCTAATTGTGTAAAAGTAGTAGCTTAGCATGACACACAAGAACTTTCCTATGATCCTATGAACTCTACAATGGAGTGACTGTCATAGAATCCCTGGTATAGCTAACTGGGGTGAGAGGTTGTAATTAGCAATGTTTCCATGTGCTTGCACAGTGGGCAGGTGGCTCATGGTGTGTGGTCATCGTTGCTGTAAGAGATCAGGGAAAATTGCTGGGCACAAGTTTGCAACGTTATACCAATGAAGGCAGACAATCACCAGTAATATGAATGTTATGTGTGAGGAGTAGAGCAGGAAATTAGAATATAAGTGTTATGACTGAGTTCAGCTGATGACTTAAATAGTCTTTTGTACTTAAAACACTTAGTCTATAGTAAAGCAACATACTTAAGGTATTTCCAACTTTAAGACCATGAACAGCCCATTGCTCTGTTTTTTGTATATGATAAGGAAGATGATGCTTTAGATATGTATGCTTTAAGCACATTGCATTGGGTTTGGTTTTTGGTACTCACAGAGAATAGTATATACTTAAGTAATCCAACCAATTTCAAAACTAGTCTCAAACAGAAGACTATATGGCCTTAGATGCTGCAACATGTAGTTTGATGTTTGTTGTTTTTCTCCCCCCTCCCAAAATCGGCATGTGCAAGCCATCTCCAGTAGAATATTAATGGAATACTGGAAGCAAAAGCACATTTATGTTCAGCACACTTCTTTCAACTTTATTAAAAACCCACAATATTAAAGTCTGCTACATTAAATTGACAGAGCCTGCCATGAAAGGAGAGCTATACCACTCATGACTTGTAAGCATTTTCCATATATACCAAGGCAAATATAGCAACAGGAGACCATTATCCTATGACAACAATCTGTTCCATTGACAGTAGCTCTTAATTGCAGTATATGGATATGCATATTTCTACTTTTATGTATGGGTGCACCGATAAAGATTTTTTTGGCTGATATACCAATCTGATTGCTGATACTCAGCCCAGCAGATTGGAGAGCAGTATCTGGCTGGTAAGTCTGCAGGGGAGGGAAGGGGTACACGGGAGGAAAGGGGTGTGGAGGGAGGCAGATTGAGGCCACCATGGTGAGGGAGGGAATGGGCCTGGGGCAGGGGCAGGGACAGGCACTGCCCAGCTGGGACGGGGGGCGGGGCATGGAATGGAGCTGCAGGTGGCTTGTCTGGGGTGTGGGAAGGGGGGCGGTTCATGCCACTACATGCATCCCTGGGGAGGCATGGGGGGCAGGGGATGTGCCCCCCAGATTTGTGCGCAGGTCATGGGCAGGCTGCCCACTGTGGGCTGAGGCTGGGGATAGTGCTGGGGTCTTCCTGGCAGAGGCTGGGCCAGGGCTGCATTTGGGGCATGCAGTGGCACTGGGAGGGGGGGCTGTGGGGAATTTTGGGAGGCTGTAGCCCTTCCAGCACTGCCACTGCCTGCCTCAAGCACAGCCCTGGTCCACCCCCCTGCCAGGAATAGGCTGGTGCAGCCCGTGGCCCCAGTCTGCCCTCACCCCACACACAAATCTGGGGGCACATGCTCTCCATACCTCCCCTGGGGGTGTGTGTAGCAGTGGGAGCCACCTCTGTCCCCACACCCTGCGGACAAGCTGTCTGCTGCCTGGCCCAGTGCCTGACCCAGCACTCCCCCCCCCGCCCCCCACCAGCTGGGCAGCACCTGCCTCTGCCCCAGCCCCATTCCCTCCTTCACTGTCCTGCTCCCCTTTGCCCCTTCCCCCCCCCCACAGACTTACCAGCCAGACGCTGCTCTCCAAGCTACCAGACTATATTCCTGGCCATGTGCATGCTGTGCCTGCTTGCATGCATGCAGCACTTATTGGTGACATTATCAGCTACACTAGCCAAAAAAAGCCGATAGCTGATAATGTCAATTTTCCTATTATCAGTGCCAATATGATGTGGACCAATATATCAGTGCACCTCTACTTTTATGTACATTTTCTCATTCTATCTCCAGTAGTGCTTAGTAAATCAAATGCAATAGGGCTTTTTTCTTATTGATATTTGAATTATCACTATGAAGAATGCTTTTCTTTCTTTCTTTTTCTTTTTTTTCTATGGGGTCATTCCTGAAGCCTTTGGTAGAAACAAAGATGAAATGATTATCTGAAGTAGCAGTTGTTTTGGTTTGGGGTTTGTTTTTTTTTAATATCTTTCTTGTTATCATGTATTTTTTAAGGATATGTTTATCTTCCAAGTGTTCTGATCTATTTATATTGTTTTGGTCTATAAGAAGCTAATAATTCTTACAGTAGATTTTAAAATAAAAGGTCTCACAAAAGTAGCATTTGTCCCATAGGCATAGTAGATTGGCGTAATGCAACAATAACCACAATTTGTTTAAATGATCTTGAAGATACAGCTCAGAAAATATCACCATTGCCTCCTTAAGCATAGCTATGCCTCATGTTTCCATAACCGCCCTCCATGGGGCTACACTGCGCTTGAGACCAATGGGGTCAGGAAGACGAGAAGATCCTGTCAGCTTTTGACACACACAAACTGACTCCACACACAGCCCCCAGGCCACATAAGCGATAGGCCTGGAGAATGTTATGCTGCTTCATCTTTGGTGCTCTTAGAGGAAGCTGTCAAGTGCCGTCACTACTGCTGCTGTTGCTGCTAATTCCCCCATCTGTTGATGTGCCAATACACATGTACTTGCAGGCTGGATGAAATCACTTCCCAGGCTGAATTCATCGCATGGACTGTGTGTTGCTAACTTCTCCATACAGGATAGTATATGGGAAAGAACTGCTCACACATTGGTGATATAGGATTCCTGTCCTAAATGGTAGTGAACTGATTCAAGCAAGTCCTTAAGCATATGCATAATGACATCCTTGTTCAGCAAAACACATATACATTTGTTTATCTCACTGAAATCAATAAGACAGAAACAGAATATTTGCTTAACGTTAAGCATGCATTTAGAGCACCTGACTGCATCAGGGTCATACTGATGCATTTCCAAATTAATGTATGAACATTTGCTCTCTTAGATGTGAATATAATTAGAGCCTAACTTTCTTTATAAAAATTTGACAATTGTAGACATCAGCTATACTTAAAGTTGCTGAAAGACAGAAAATGGATGCAGTGTCCAGCAAAAGAGAGAATCAGATATTAAGGTAAATCTTTTTCATGTGCCCTGTGTTTTCTGACTGCTAAATACTGTTTCTTGAGTACTTTGTTCTCTATTTATGATAAATATCACTACTTATAATCCACTAACAAAATATCGATGCCTCTCTCTCTCGCTGTTGATGTTGGTATTTGGATCAGTTCATAACCTAATATTATGAATATTACCAAATGAATGTACAGTACCTACTGATTTTGAGTTGTCTTTGAGAAACCTTGATGATTTGGGAACCCTCTCATTTAAATCTGTTAAAATTAGGCCTTTTTTTCTGAAACACTGAGCTGTTTCAATAGTTCGTACATTCTCCAATAGATTAAAAGTAATGAGTTTTAATACTCAGCCTGATTCTTTTCAGTCAGTAGAGCTGTTTGATGTAAGATAATATGAATCATTATAGATGACAGACTATCAAGACCTGTTTCTTTAAAATTTTCTGTGCTTAAATCAAAGCCACCTCATAGTTATATGAGTGTAAACATATTTCCTCGAACTGTTTCAATCTGAAGAGAATGTAACATTTTTGTGGAATTTAGAAATCATGATGTATTTCTGGGCTTAAGTTTTTAAGCCATTTTTCATATTGGAGCACTATTTTAAACTGAACTAGAAATAGAACTAAATACTAATAGAATACTAACTGCCAGTATATTATTGCCATTGACACAAGATAGAAATTGAGAACAGCTAACCCATTAATAGATTATAAAAGTGAACTGATATGAAACATGCAATTTTCCCCATTTATTTTCAATTTTAACTTCATCCTATACATTCGTAAATTTTTGGAATGTCGGCTAGATTCCATAAATTGTCATTCTTGGGTCTCCTGATGAGAGTTCAGGAGATACATTAAACTTCACTGTAATAAAGTTGTGTTCTTAAATTAAGATTAGCATTGCTTGGGCCTTCAGTACTCAGTAGACAACCCAGAGGCTGCTTCTGGCCCTTGCTATGGGTGGAGCTCAGGTGGAGGAGCTAGGCGGTCAGAGCTAAAGTACTTTTGCCTTGGTTCCAATGGAGGACTAAAGAAGCAAGTATCCGCAGCCAGATATTGAATACTGGCTGTACAGGAGCCCTGCTCTATAATTATTAATCACTCAGTTTTTGTTTTGTGAGACCAGTGTTATCTCATTGAGTGGAATGATAGTTGATCTGATTTTCTTAGAGAAAAGAATTATTTGCTTGTAATTGCTGTTCTCAAAATTTCTGTATGTTGTAACAGGCTACCACTCTCTCACTTTCCTCTTCTAAGGCTTGATAGTTTTGTAACATAATGCAGCATTTTTACAAATTACTTTATATGCATGATGGGAGCTCTACACTTTTCGAACTGGCATTTGGAGTCACTAGGGAACAAGTAGGTTGTATTTCATTGACTTCCGCAGCCAGTAGCTTAGAGCTTTGAGTCTGGTGAGTTTTCTACCTTAGTCTAAGATGGCATCACAGACTTTAGCATGGTCATCTGTCAAAATCTGTATCTTTAGGAAAAAGCAAGCACACGTGAGGAATTGTCTGTCTTTTCCAGCATATGCAAAGTTACACAGAGGGTAGTTGTCACAGTATTCCTGCATGAATACTCACGTAATGCTCTGAAGACAGAGGGCCTAATTCTGTTCTTACTTACACTAATACTAATCAAAATAGCTTTATTCCAGTCAGTGCAGTAAATCCTATGTAGTAAAATGAGATCGGGCCCTGAAAATAACCTCATAATTTCCTGCTAGTCATTCCACCTTACTTTAACTTGCATTTCAAGAGTTCTTGTCTTCTCTGGGTTCCAATCAAGTTAAGAAACAATATTTACATTTTGATATAATTGCTACTGTAGGTGTGGATAGCCCAAACCATGGTATAATTATGTTTGTATAAGCAAGTCGATAAAGAGTTTTTTACACACTAACCTAACACAGTTTGTCTTTACTGACCGTTTGAGCGTGTCCACCAGCTTATATAAACTCCCTTATCATGGTTTTTGCACCAGATCAGATGGGGCCTGTAGCACAGTAAGAACTGGCGGTTGAGGAAAGGAGGGATATTGATGTGCATATCTGCTCAGCTTGCCTCTACAATGGCTTTTTATTGATTACTGAGTAAATTAAAGGCTTTGGTCCTGATTTGCAAAGCCTTCAGAGGAAGCAACCCTTCAGAGCTCGGGGGTCAACACTCCCCTCATGACCATGACTGATTGTGATAGCAGGAACAATGGAGCTGTCAATCTCAAGAGTGAGATTATTAAGCAGTGGAGACAGCTTTCTTGGCAGCTTGCCCAGAAACCCGAAACTTGTTCCCAGAACATATCAAATGCCCGCAACTTTCACTAGAGCAAAATGCAAAATATTCCTTCATTTGTCACTATACAGATAAACATGTAAATTTTGGTATAGTCTCTTTTCCTCCACCTTCCAACTGGGTAAGAGAGAAACTAGACACCTGTATATCTCTGCTAGAATATGTAAAGTGCCCATGTACTGAACTGATGAACACCAAGATAGATGTAGCCATTTTGCATAATACAAACTGCATTCTCCTGAGACCGACTCTCCTACTTTGTGGATTTCTCCCTTCTTCCCTTGTAAATTCTGTTCTGTATTTCCACTGATGTTCCTTTCAGAAGCAAATGTAATAACTCTCCTAGGCTTTATGTACAAATGCTATGTATTCCCATGAATGTAAACTCCCTAGCCAGGTGCCCAAGTTTCATGTGGAAAGGCATGGGACTTAAGAGCATGGCTCTCAGGAGGAAGCTACCTGAGCAGAACTATAATTACAGGTACAAGAATCATTCTTCAGTGCCTTGATATGGAGAGTATACTTGGTGAAAGGGTCTTCTCAGTCTGTTTGTCTTCCTGTTTTTACAAACGTTTAGAATTCTGTTCATGCTGCTTTAAATTTCATCATTTAAATAACATGAAGTTATTCAGGAATGATGAGATGAGGATTGGGATTTGTACACAGAATAAATAATCCATACACCAAGAGGCTGTGTTATTTTTTCCCCCTCAGATTTATTAATTAAACATGATAATCAGTTATGTTGATATCAAAATCACACACATTTCCAGCAGCAAACATTTTTACAGCGTCAAAGGTAACTGATATTTAATGACTTAAATTCTTTAACTTTTTATTTCAGAGGAAGATATAATGTTCAAGAAAACAAGAGAATATTGGATCCCAAGAAAGGACCAATTAAAAAGACAGCAGGAGTGAAGAAACTTCCAAAACTAAAACAGTGAACAAATATTCTTAATAAGAACTTCCAATTGCTTCTTTTGTTGTTTTTAAACTGAAACTGCCTTCAGTAAAACTGAACAGAATTGTTTTGGGCAAATTCAAACTAAAATAGCTACTAATGGATCTTTATGTTTTCCAGTAACTTCATAAGTCGCTGTTCTAAGGGAAAAGCGCTCCCTATGTAGTAGTCTATCTCTGAATTCTCAGGTGTGGCCCTTGACAAACTGATTGCTGTACATGAAAAGTTAGCTCATACAAAATCAAGTCAGGTGGCTCAGATAATCGGTTAATCATCATAAGAATGGTAGATTTTTCTCCCCTTGACTGTACAATCAGTTACGAAAAACGGCTCCTTTCTGAGCTCTCTATTACGGAGATTAAGAGGATCCATGTGGCTTCAAAGAGTAATTTTATCACCTAAACCCAGTGAGCCTATGAGAAGAATCCTTATTCTGCATAGGAGTAATCAGAGTGTGTCCCCTCTGTCTTAGTCATAGGATGGCAGAAGTTTCCTTCCCAGCCCTTGGAGCTCTTAACTGAGCACTACTTAAATGAGACCAAGCTTGGAGCCAGTCTGTCATTCCATCTACAGCCTTGAAGAAGAGTTCTTCTGTTAGGTTGTGTTAGATTGTACAAGCTGCCTGGTTCTTTCAGATTGACTCCAGGACTGTCACTGGCCACACTAAAGGGCACTGAAAGAAGTGATATTTGTTGTGCATTTGGCCCCTTGATGGCATGGCTGTAGAGGCTTTGACAGAAATGTATGGTTGCTGAATACTTTAAAAAGTGCCTGATGGCTTGACAAATTGACCTTCATTTAATGTAGGTTCAGATGAAGGCGCCCCAAAGCAGAACACCTTCATTAACTTCTGTTTGTGTGCATAAGCAGAGCTGGGTTGATGTAGCCCAGCCGCACCCCCAGTGCTTTCTGCAGCCTGGGAGCAGGGGGATGGTGGAGGAGAAGGAGCTCTGGTATGGGGTTTGCCTGTCTTGCACTGGATGGGGGGTGTTTGGATTGGAGCCCTCCTGAGGTGAGGGACTCCAGTCTACCCGCCCTGCCTTTCAGTGCAAGCTGGGTAAACCCCAGACCAGAGCTCCTTCCCCTCCCCACATCCCCACTCCTATCCTATAGACAGCACCTGAGCTGGGGTGGAGATGCAGGATGGCAGGACTAGGGAAGAAAGGATGTGTGTCTGTAGCCTTTCTCCCCTGAAATGGCTCCAAACTAGAGCTCTCCAGGGAAATTCTGTTGTGTTTGGGGGGGTTGGGGGTGTCACTGTAATTTATGGTGCTTTCTATGAAGCGCCATGAGTTACAGTGGGGAGCTGTATGTCTGTCAGCACCCAAACATTGCCTTATTGCAGTTTTGTCATTCTTTGCTTCTGTTATTTGTATGCCTTGGGACTCCACAGTTATTTCCAGCTGGATTTCTCCTTTACTGTGCAGAGAAACAAAAAATAAAATTTGGTTTAGAAAAGTATTATATTCTGCATGTAAGGGTGAAGTGTTAGAGTCATTAAGGCATCTTGCTACAGCTCCACATGCATAAGTTCAAGCCTTACTCAGGACTTGTGCTGCAGGCTGCCCCCATTCAACCCACCTGTAAATGGGTACATGGTAATTTGGGCTGGGGAGCAGGAGGCAGCTGAAGGTGAATGCTAGCCACTTTGTTCCCTTGTGTGCCATTGGCTATGGAAACTGGTGAATCTTACCAGTAGTAGCCTGATGGATCTTCCAGACTGACTCTTCACAGAATATCTCACTCTTAGAGAATACTGTATAGGAAATATTATTTTGAATTCCTCTGTACATAGATTGATTCCTAGTGTTTGTATTTTAGTATCTGAAATCTGAACTCACAAATTGATGCTGTCATCTAACACCCTGATCCTACAAAAACTTGTCTGTATTCTGTGGTAGGACTCTAGCCATGTTCTTTGCAGGCCTGTGGCTTGAGGTAGCACCAGCCTCTTACTCTTGAACTTTAATGTACCTCTGAGGAATCATTTGAGCTATTTTGAATTGTATCTTTAATCTTAAGAATTACAATTACTGCTTCAATTTCATTACTAACAGTATTTCAGTAATTAAACTTTGGCAGGCTTTTCTTTTAACTGGAGAGCAATGGGGAGAATGTTTTGGTATTTAAACTTAAAGCCCTTTAGGTTACATTTCAAAAGCACTCTCCAGAGTAACTGTGATTGATATGCTGTCTTTTATTATTTTAAGAGCTTCTGTAGCTCTTCACATTATTTAGTAAAGATCTTCGTCTCTTTAAGAACAATACTAATACAGTAATGTCTTATTACCGCCAGCACTAAAAGTTGCAATTAAACTCTTACCAAAAAATGATGTCATTGTTGTAATGCAAGAAAACAAGAATTGTAATGATGTACAGCATAGTCATTATAGAAACACCATCTTCTCTTATCTTGGCTGAGGTATGTAGGAGTTACTTATTTTTTTTCCATGCTATAGCTGGTATGGTCTTTTTTAATAAGCAGAGCAGTCTGTTTGAGCATTTTTGCTCATAACAGTAGTTAAAAACCTAGTACTGCTGATTAGGCTAGCACTAGTCTGTTCCTGTTTTTTTGTATGGAAACTGTCCAGATTTTCAGTGTTGCCATGTCTCATTGTAAAGTGTGAGAAAAAAATCACCATAATCCTCCCATTGGCACAAAAGACACAAAGGACATCCATATTAGTAAGGATGATTCAATTCTTGGATCGTCACAGAAGATAGGCATCTCTGCAATATCAGGCTTTTATTGATGTAGTCAAGTGCAATCACTCTAACGGGCTTGAAAGAATTAGAACCTTGTATATTGATGCAGGTAAAGCAGTTAGTAATCACTTAGTTATTCTCAGCAACAGACTTTTTCCATGCCAAGTTTGCAACTGGTCCACAGTGGATGCATCTACATGAGACACTTTACTGTGCAGTAAACTTCGCTACTTGTGAACACTACAACTATGCTTAGTGCGCAATAAACTTCTCTACTCACGAATAAATTTGCTACCTGCAAATGCAAGTAGCAGATTTACTCGCAAGTACTTACAGCACAGTAACGCACATGTAGATGCCAACCAGGAGCAGATTTGCTCCTGGTAAGCCCTGCGACTAGGGGGGCAGCCTAAGCTCAGCCCCAGGGCTGGGCCGCCTCTATGGCAGCCCCAGGCCTTTTAAAAGTCTGTAGGCATTTTGAGCCCTGGAGCATAACAGCAGGGAGCCTGGGTGGGGGGACTCTTGGCCTCTGCCGCCCCTGCACAATACACTGACTGGAGCTGCCGGTCATGCCAGCCCACCCTATATGGTAAGCCCTACACTGGAGGGGGGAGGGCCTTGCCCCACCCCTACCTGCACTCCCTTGGCCCCCAGTTTCCGCCCCCACACCATGGAGGGAGCAGGAATCAGTGCAAAACTCTATAGAGCAGCCCATGTCCCCATAGGTAGGCAGGCACAGGCCTCATGCACCAAGGGACATGTTGATGCTACCAATGATGCCCTCTGCTGCAGGTGGCAGGGATGTGTAATGCAGCCACAGGTAGCCCTCCAGGTGGCAGCAGAGGTTGTAAGACAGCCCAGGCTTGCTGCCTGCACCATCAACGCTCAGCATTCCATGCTAGGTGCCCAGGTTTTCCTGGGGCACCATGGCAGTCAGCAGCGGCAGGGTGTAGTAGTCAGGTATTTCTTGGTCCATACAAAAAGCTCCTCATGCAAGGCCTGAGACATCAACGGCATGCTTGGGGCACAGCACCGCCAATGCGGTGTGGGGAGGGGGCAGAGGGCTGACCTTGGGGTGCCTCTGGGGAAAAGACCCTTGTGGGGAGGGCGGGGTTGTGGACAGCTCTTTGTCCTAGTTGTATGGCAGCCCTGCACCACCCCCCTGAGCCTGGGCACTGTGGGCTGGGCAGCAGCACAGGAGGCTGGCAGGCCTCTGTGAGGAGGCAAGGTAGTGAGGTCTGGAGCCGTGGCAGGAGGTGCTGCCAGGAGCCTGGCCTGTCCCAGCCTGGGAACAGGGAACCTAGCAGCCCACCTGGTCCTGGGGAGTGAGCAGGGATGGAGGGCTTGGCCAGTGGCCAGCTGTGTCCAGGCCTGCCTGGCCAACTTACCATGGTCTCTGGGCACCTATGCATGCCTGACCTCCGCTGTGAGTCTGGGAAGCGTACAGCCCCTGGTACAGAGCATCTTATCTCAGAAATGCTGCAAATTCTCACAAAGCTTCTTTCCCATATATCTGCATGCCCTACAGCTGCATGTGGGGGAGAGGCTGCAGTTGGCAGCCAGAATGCAGCCTCAAGGTCACCACCACCCACAGCTGGAGCCCTGGGGAAGCAACTGCTCTGCAGGAGGAGGATCCAGGGTCAGACCCTCCTCCTGGACTGGCTGGTGATGACTTCAGAGCACTGACAGGAAGATGCATGGATCTGGTGGGTAGAGGATGTTGCCTAGCAGGACAGGTGGTGTGTGGAGGACATGGCCCACAAGGACATACGGGAGTGGAGCAAGGACGCACAGGACTGGATGGACCAGGAGTTCAAGGCGCAGCTCCTGGCCCTGGAGTGTGAATGCAGAAGCTGTGGTGCAAGAGCTGTCACGTGGTGCAAAAGCTGTTGCATGCTGCCCTTGTGCTCTGCCTGTTGCTTCTGGCCAGAAATGTAGCTGACCAGGGAGCAGGGGCAGAGCTGCCTTTTAAAGATGCCCTCTGGATGCAGGCAGCTGCAGCTGGAGCCTCCAGCTCCCCCTGGTGGTGGTAGGGGCCCATTGCAGGGCCCCAGGAAGCAGAAGCAGTTGGCTGCTAGGAGCAACAAGTCTGCTCCCACGTCACTGCACATGTAGACCCCTACCCAGAAGCATTTATTTCCAAGTAGTTTACTCAAAAGTAAACTGATCCCACATCAAATGCATATGTAGACACACCCACTGAGAACAGATGTTTGAAGTTTAAGGGTTCTGCCAATTACTGAATTTAGCTTTCTGCCTTTTCTGATGATGTAGGAGGAGAAGCCATGTAGAACCCTCTTGGACCAGTTAATTTAATGGCACAGTGAGATCTGATGCCAACAACTGTGCTTCTTTCCTGCCACACGTGCAGGGCTTCCCAGCACATGGATTTAAACTTGCCAAGCAAAGGAGCCCAATGACTCTGCCCACACAGCACCTCTAACCCTGTGCACACTGTTTGACATGGCAGGAGCCCATCAGCTCTGTCACGCATTCAGTTTAAAGCACCATATATGCTAGCTACAAAGATGTTCCCTGTTAACATCTTTGTGGATCATTTGCCATTTTCTGGTGTGATAAATTGGTTGATGTGTTCCATGGTCGTGTTAATCATGTGCTAAATATAACATCTGCCAGGGGGTCTCAGTCTCTGCCACAGCTATCCAGGGAACAAAGGTTTAAAACAGAAAGGCTAAGATTAAGCTGCTTTTTACTCATTAAATCATTGGGGCTTGCACATTCCGATTGTTTTTTTTTAATCTGGTTTCTGAAATGCAGAGAAGTTTCTTCAAGTTCTTTTTCTTTTCCCCGCCTTTTTGGACCTAAGAATGTTGTCCTGTGGGGTCAGGCCAACTCTCAGGATCTCAATATTGCGCTGTTAGACAGGAGGGTGTGACACAATTGCACATATACAAACACACAAATCAATTAAGTGAATACACTCACACTACCAACTCAGGCATATACACACAAGGCTAACCTATTTAACGATTTCTTTGCCTCCATTTTCCTCAACAAGGACCAGATCAGCCCGTCCGCCGGGACCCCCTCAGGCCCCGGGGGAGGTGCACCCAGGCCCAGGGTCAGTGAGGATCTAGTCAGGGAACTTCTGGAGGGACTGGACATATTTAAATCAGCTGGTCCTGATGACCTCCACCCCAGAGTGCTGAGGGAATTAGCAGAGGTCATTGCAGGACCCCTGGCACAGTGTTATGAGCACTCGTGGTGTTCTGGTGTGGTGCCAGAGGATTGGAAAAGGGCCAATGTGGTTCCCATTTTCAAAAAAGGGAGGAAGGAGGACCCAGGGAACTATAGGCCAGTTAGTCTTACCTCAATCCTGGGTAAGCTTTTTGAGAGAATTATCCTGGCGCATGTCCACGAGGGGCCAGCAGGGGAGGTTTTGCTTAGGGGCAGTCAGCATGGGTTCATTAGAGGCAGGTCTTGTCAGACCGACCTGGTGGCCTTCTATGACCAGGTCACAAAATCCTTAGATGCAGGGGTAGCAGCGGACGTAGTCTTTCTGGATTTCAGGAAGGCCTTTGACACTGTCTCTCACCACATTCTCATTAAAAAACTAGGGGACTGTGGTGTCGACACCTACACAGTCAGATGTGTCGCTAACTAGCTGGAGGGCCGCACCCAAAGAGTGGTTGTGGACAGGTCATTTTTGACCTGGAGGGATGTGGGCAGTGGGGTCCCCCAGGGCTTGGTCCT